TTCTTAGTAAAAAAAGGTACGAAAATAAGCAAAAATACTTACAAAAGAAAAAATGCACAACTTGTGGAAAGAAACATGCAGGGGAATGTCACTACAAGAAAAATAATGCACAAAATGGCACAGCAAAAAATGCATTCACAGCGTTATTAACGAAAAGAAATAACGACGACTGGTATCTAGACAGTGGTGCATCGTCTCATATGACACCAAACGATAATTTGCTCACTAGCAAAAAAAATTCACTCGTTGACAAAATAATGTCAGCAAATGGAACAGCTATGACAGTAAGTTGCGTTGGCAAAACATCACTGAATATCAACGGGCAAGAAATTGTAGTTAACGAAATTCTACACGTGCCGATTTATCAGTAAACCTTCTGTCAGCTGCAAAAATAGTGAGTCAGGGGAATGTAATAAAATTCGATGCAACAGGCTGTACAATACTTAACAAAAACAAAGAAGTAATTGTACAGTGCAAAGCGGAAAATGGTGTTTACAAACTGAAGGGAATCCAAGCAAAATGCTTGTTATCAAAACAAACAAATAACAACGCAATGCTATGGCACAGGCGACTTGGACACATAAATTTTCAAAGTTTAAAGAAAATGCGTGACGGCGCTGTTTCTGGTATTGATTTCAATGACGACGATCATGAAATAAAAAATTGTCAGATATGTCCCAAAGGCAAACAAACAAGAATTCCGTTTAAACAAAGTAACTCAAAAACAACAAAGCTACTCGAACTAATACATTCTGATCTATGTGGACCTATGGAAACGCAATCTATAGGACACGCCAAATATGTATTAACATTCATAGATGATTTCTCCCGAAAATTATTCGTTTACTTTCTCAAGTCAAAATCAGAAGTTTTCAATAACTTTAAAAATTTCAAAACATACATTGAACGCCAAACTGGATCTAAAATCAAAACAATACGGACGGACAATGGTGGTGAATATTGTTCAACTGAATTCGACAAATACTGTAAAGAGAATGGTATCAAGCATCAATTAAGTAATGCATATACTCCTCAGCAGAATGGAATTGCCGAAAGAATGAACCGAAGCTTAATTGAAAAAGCTAAATGTCTCCTGTTTGATGCAAATCTTCAAAAATGTTATTGGGCAGAAGCAACAAATATGGCAGCCTACTTAATCAACAAAAGTATTTGTTCGTCGCATGGAAAAATTCCTGATGAAATATTCTATAAAAAAAAAATAGACATATCTAACCTGAAATTGTTTGGTTGTGAAGCAATGGTTCACATAAACAAAGAAAAACGTAAAAAATGGGATCCTAAATCCAAGAAAATGTTTTTCGTGGGCTATGATGACGACATTAAAGGTTTTCGCTGTATTGATCCAATAACAAAGAAACTGGTTATAAGTCGAGATGTAATATTCTACGAAAAACCTCAACCAAAGTCGACCTTAAAAATCTATAACGACGAAGTGAGGGAAATAAAGAGAAGCGATGAAGACACATTTGAAGAAGTTAGCATAAAACCTGATGAATCGAACGAAGACGTACAAAGTGTTGCGGAAGATGACACCATGATAGAATCACCGAATCAAACCCAAAATGATCCAGATTATGTTCCTGAACAAAGTATTGATGAATCTGAAGAAGAAAGAAGAGTCACACGATCTAAAGCTAAGGTATCTGTACCATCTTTTCAATTTAATGCTTTTGCATTTCTTTCACAGCCATTAACAGTATCAGAAGCTATAAACGGTGAAAAAGCGAAAGAATGGGAAGATGCAATGAATGAAGAAATGGAATCACATAGATCAAATAACACCTGGTCGTTGATGAAACTACCAGATGGAAGAAAGCCTATAAAAGCAAAATGGGTCTTTAAAGTAAAACAAGATGAGGTCGGTAAAGCTGTAAAATATAAAGCACGACTTGTTGCAAAAGGCTGTGCACAAAAATACGGCATCGATTATGATGAAACATTCTCGCCGGTGGTTAGATACACATCAATAAGGTTTTTAGTGGCTTTAGCAGTAAAAAACGGCTATAAAATCCATCAAATGGATGTAGTGACTGCGTTTCTTCAAGGTGATCTTAAAGAAACAATATACATGGAACAACCAGAAGGTTACAATGATGGCACTAACAAGGTATGTAAGCTAAACAAAGCTGTTTACGGACTGAAACAAGCCGGAAGACAGTGGAACTTAAAGCTCGATTCAGCATTAAAAGAATTCGGGTTACAAAGGTGTAAAACTGATCCATGCATTTACTATGATAAAGAATTGAATCTGATAATTGCAATATACGTCGATGATTTCCTTATACTCAGAGAATAAAGAACACGACGGTTTGAGGTTTATGAGTGGACTGACTGTTTAATGTATCAAGAATATGCTTATAAGTATTACAATTATGCGAAGCTGGTAAATAAAGTATAATAAGCTTATGAGTGCATTTTATATGCACATATACAAATACATCGCATTGTCTTCAACAGTACGAGAAATAATATGGATGAAAATGTTAGCCAAAGAAGTTGATAAAAACTTGGTTGAAACTACTAAAGTTTTTTGTGACAACCAAAGTACTATCAAATTAGGCTCGAGCGAAGCATACAGACCAAGGACGAAACACATTGATATCAGATATCACCATATACGTGAAAAAATCGATGAAGGTTCAATCAAATTGGAGTTTCTTGGCACTCAACAAATGGCAGCTGATTCGTTAACAAAAGCAGTCAGCAGAGAAAAAACAAAATTTTGCGCTGAACAAATGGGCTTAAGCTCATAATAAAATAAGACAATAATTAACATTTATAATAATTATTGTTTTACTCACAGTTATCCAATATTATACAACATGGGAGGCTGGTTTTCATCGGAGCAGCAGAAATCCAACAACAATGGAGAAGTACAGAACAATATCAATATTAGTGAACCTGTTCCAATACACAACCAAGAAATCTTGATTATGTTAGGGATTATTTGCATTCTAAAAATAATAGAATTTCTATACTTTTTATATCGATTACATTATCGTAAAGTTAAAAGACAGTATCAAACTCAAAAAGTATAATACACTGTAAAACAAAATCTTGCTAAAACCCAAAAAAAAAAACTGTAGTATAAAATTAACTTCAAATTACATTAAAAAAAACATCAAAAATATTGTAAAAAAATTTTTATTTTAAATATGAATAATAATTTTGTAAACAATAAGTGAGGGTGTTGAAAATACTTATGTATTTAAATATGTATTTGTATTTGTATATGTGCATATAAAATGCACTCATAAGCTTATTATACTTTATTTACCAGCTTCGCATAATTGTAATACTTATAAGCATATTCTTGATACATTAAACAGTCAGTCCACTCATAAACTTCAAACCGTCGTGTTCTTTATTCTCTCTCTACAAAATCTTCAGCAATTCTGCTATGAAAAATTGTGCAAATTCTGGCATTGCATATTTCACGGGGCAATACTTTGTTACCAGCTTATGAGATGGTAACAAAATTTACCGGTTACAAGAGTACACAGAATGCGAAAAGGGTTTAAAAATTGACAGGAACTTTATTTACCGGTTACAAACTTTTTATTACCAGCGCAGAATAGACCTGTTAATCGATATTTCAGAAATGTGCCACTCTTATTATTTCGAATAGAACAAAAAAAGTTATAGCCCATCTACCGTTGCAGGACGTCCTGTTTCGCCGCCACGCCCTCCAGGTATGCGACCTTAAAAAAGTTAAAAATGATAGTTAAAAGAAGAATGGCTCCAAACAAGAAAGGTGTAAAAATCACTTACCTTCATATATTTCTCTATGGTTCCGGGCGAATACTTCACGGCCCGGATGCCGACGATTGGGGTATCGCTCTGCATAAAGTCTTTGAGCAGCTCTGGTATTACAGCAAGCTTCACCGTAAATTAGGTGAATATCCGCATATTCATGCGACGTATACTGCGTGTTCTCTGTCATAGTATTAATAACACAATGTTCGAAGGGTCCAATTTCACAAAATCCACTTTCACTAATTCCGGTAAGTAACACAAAATAATGTCAGAAGCAAGTAATTATATACCTTTGTACTATTTAGCATGTCATTTGACGGCAACAAGAGCAAATTCAATTTAAATCTATTAAATATATTCTAGCGTGTCTCAGTCCTTTACCCACAAAAGCGGCTATAACTTTTTTTTTTCTATACAAAACAGTAAGTGTGGCACCTCTCTGAAATATCTATTAAATGAGCAATTTTTTTATGTAATGTAAAGTAATAGCTCAGTACATTTTTTTCACCAGACATAGTCAAAATTGGGAAAGAAAATATCAAAAAGTTAAAAATCGCAATATAGTCCTAATTTTATAATGGCTCCTTAATATATTTTAACTACATTGCACTTAAGTATGGAGAAGCAACTATCTGAAAGTATATTACATAAAAAATTTACTAAGTATAGCCTTTTTTGTAGATGCAGTTAAAGAAAATACATGAAAAGGCACGATTTTTCTTTAATTAAAAAAAAATTTAAATATTTCAAAAACGGTGACACTTTTACCTGAAAATTTGTTGTTTATCAGAGAGCTCACCACCGCACCTGCCTTCTCCTCAAGTTTGGCAGGTTACTTCTGGGACACCCTCTATATTAAAAATATTGCTGGAAAACCTTAAAATGTTTGCATGGAACCATGGCGCAATAAACAGGTGAAGTAATAGAACAGCTTTCTCGCTTTATTTTCTGTCATTCGGTTGCCTTATAGTCAAATTTTAAAGGCAACTTTTCAAATAGGCAGTGTCAAAATCGTTTTCTCGCTCTAATTACTTCACCTGGTATAATTACGCCACGGCATGGAACAAACAATAGTTGCCGTTCCTGTTCGCAGCATATTACACAGATAATATTGTTTTGAGTTTTATCTTCAGTTAAAATTTTGCATTATCATCACTGGTTTCACCATATCCGAAATGTGGACTTCGTTTACGAAGACGAAGCGAACATGTAGTACGAAGTAGTGATGTAAAAATATGTAAAATTTTACCTACTCTCAGACTTCTAAATTTGAACGTATACTCGGTACAAACGGTGACACTTTTACCTGAAAATTTGTTGTTTATCAGAGAGCTCACCACCGCACCTTCCTTCTCCTCAAGTTTGGCAGGTTACTTCTGGGACACCCTCTATATTAAAAATATTGCTGGAAAACCTTAAAATGTTTGCATGGAACCATGGCGCAATAAACAGGTGAANAGGACTTGGCTTCACTTGGCGTTTCCAATTGGCGTCAGTTGGCACAGAGGAGAAACGACTGGCGTGCTTTGCTGAACTCGGCCAAAATCGCTTAGGCGGTTACAGCGCCAAAAAAGAAGAAGAAGAGGTTAATTCC